AAACTTACCTAATAGCACCGTCATAATGACATCTTTTCACACTAGTAGGATTATCAAACTTACCTAATAGCACCGTCATAATGACACCTTATCACACTAGTAGGATTGTCGTCATCCCATTCATCCTGGAAATACAAAGAAATTTTAATGATCATCAATTTATGTGAAAAATATAGCATTTACTAATATCTAAATCAATACAAATACCAGAATATTGTACATTTTTATTTATTATTAAATCATTGATATGCAGTTCATATGTAAAAAATCTGACTGAATAACAACATCTACTGTTACAAACGCAGGGTCAGCAAAAAGCAATAACGAGAATGTGAATTAATCACCAATTTGTCAATTTGGCAATGGTCCTTGATAAGCAGATATAGGTGTCAATTAATAAATGATAATAGTATTTTCCCTGGCTTTTAAGTTTGAATAAAATTAACCCAGATAGTTGATGATGTGTAATTGAAATTTTCAGTTTTTTTAGAATACATTATTGAATCCAAAACAAATTCACATTCATATTTATTTACATGTATTTAAGGACGGTGGTCGTCGCGTCTCATATGAACAAAGATGGCGACTTTGGCAATGCGCAGATCAACAAGTATAAACTGAGATATTACTAAACTTTAATAAGGTACTTTTATATAATTGGAAGGTATCAAAGGAGTCATTAATTAGTGCAAGTCGCGCCCAGGTCAAACCTCATACTTGTGATTTCCATTTGAAGAGCGCATTGGATTGTGGGAAAATCAATGTTTATCAACACAAATGTCACACATGCGTGGCGTCCTTTAACAACTATACAAAAGAAGGTCTTTGAATATTCCAGAAATTTTGTCAGACACATAAGTTCCTGTTTTGAAACTATAACTTATAATTTTGTCTTCTTATCTTGAAATGTATGGATGGCACAAATAAAAAATAAAACATGTCTACCTCCCATCCACCATCAATTACATCTTCAATAATATTGACAAAAGGTACAGGAATAATACCAATTTTTCCATATAGAGAACCCTAGAATAAAATATCATTATTATGTTATTAGTGTGTACAGGTGACAGAAATGAATTATGTAAACCAGAAGGTGTTTTTCTTAATATTCATGAGATAGAACTTCAAGAAAATTATTTATGATTGTCAATATCATCTCATTATTTTCCCAGATTCATGAAATCATAATTATTACAAGATGCTTTCTGTAATCAAACGTGGTTCACTTTCACTGACTGTTATTACCTCCAGCCAATTGTCATCTACTCTGCACACCAAAGCTATCATATCTCCCTTCTTGAAACTCAATTGATCTGAACTTTCAGCTTTGAAGTCATGAAGTGCCTGCAAAACAATGAATATATTATATTATAATAATAATAATAATTTGGTTTAAATACAACCCAGAGAAGGTCAAGATGAAGACAATGGTATTGATGACATGCAATTTGTCACCAATGATTTCCACAATTTTATTTCAAAGCTAAAATGTACAATTGGTGTGTAATCCAGTAGTTTTCATAAATATACTACATTTGTTGATCAATCAGAGTGCAAACTTAATAGAAAAAGAGTACATGTGTTTCACACATGACAATGAAAAGATGTGAGAGGAATTGATTACCTGCACTCTTGGACCAGTCAATGTCTGTGGTTTTAGATCAGTTGAACTACCTCTGACCATTAATGGTCTTTTTGGTCTATGCAGAAATTAGAAATAAATCAATCAGTTTTTGAATGTGGATACAGACTAGATTAGACAATAATAGTCTTTATATTCAGTAATGGTCAATACTGAGTCAGAATTGCCAACTTTCTTATAGTCAGTAACGGCCAATACTGAGTCAGAATTGCCAACTTTCTTATAGTCAGTAATGGTCAATACTGAGTCAGAATTGCCAACTTTCTCTATATCAGTAATGGTCAATACTAGTCAGAATTGCCAACTTTCTTATAGTCAGTAAGGCCAATACTGAGTCAGAATTGCCAACTTTCTTATAGTCAGTAATGGCCAATACTAAGTCAGAATTGCCAACTTTCTTATAGTCAGTAATGGTCAATACTGAGTCAGAATTGCCAACTTTCTTATAGTCAGTAATGGTCAATACTAAGTCAGAATTGCCAACTTTCTTATAGTCAGTAATGGTCAATACTGAGTCAGAATTGCCAACTTTCTTATAGTCAGTAATGGCCAATACTAAGTCAGAATTGCCAACTTTCTTATAGTCAGTAATGGCCAATACTAAGTCAGAATTGCCAACTTTCTTATAGTCAGTAATGGTCAATACTAAGTCAGAATTGCCAACTTTCTATTGACATCAGATTTGAGCTGACCTTAAGTAAGATATTACCACCACCCTGTTTCAGTAGTATTATTCACTGCTGTAATATAAAACTCACTTGATTTCTGGTGCTTTATTTCCTTTACTCTGTTGAGCCATCAATCTTGCCTTCTCAGATGCAGCAACATATTTGACCTTACCGTCAGCCCCTTTAATGATAGGTGTATCGATATCAGATGACCAGAGGCACAGGAAATTTAAAACCAGATCACTTTTAGATATCCTTGAGCTCATATTAATTAATTTCTGTAAAAATCAAAATGAGTGGATCATATCATGGAAAAACAGTATAAGTTTGTTCGAATAAAAAGCCTGTAATATTTTTTAACATTTTTCTTCAATACTCGTACTGTAAACTTAATTGAAATAGATTTTATTATGAACTGAAAATGCTGCATTTACACACAACAGTATTTATTTTATTAACATTAATTGTTAAATCAAGAATATTATATGCCATTGTTTCATTGAACAAAAGCTGCTACAAGAACAGCATTGTCATGGCCTAATGTATTAATATAAAAAAACAACAATGGTAAAAATACACAGAATGTCCGAAAGTAATCCGGACGCTGTTACACGTTAATCATATACAGAATCATGCAAGTCACAAAATACTAAAAAACTAACTGCAGAGGTCAAAGTCGGGACAATGCTGTGATATGTCAAAATAAACGAGATGTGACAAGCTGAAAGGAAGACGGCCAAAATCCATATTAGGCCCAAAACCGATGGCATTTTACAAAATCGATTTTAAATCTCACTAGTATCAAACAACATTGTTCTGTGTTCTTGCCCATATAGCGTAGTTGTACTGATGTGACTTATAATGGACATTATTATTGATAAACTCACATACTTTGAGATAACTATTTAGATCAGGAATTCTCAAATCAGCAACTTCTCTTATTGCACTTCTTTTCAGATAAATTTTACCTAATTAAGACGAAAATAAGATCAAGCAGTCAGTCAGTCAGAAGAATACTTTATGGCAATGAAAAAGAAAATAGAGTAAATAATCAAACAGGCATGGCAATCAAAAAGGTGATTTCAGAGTAGCTACACAGTACACCATTTGAAGCCAGTGTTAATTAGATGTTGGTCTACACCAACCAGCATGACTGCAGGAGCTTCCGAAGGTGTGAATCATGTATCTAACGTCTTCATGAACAATCTTATCATTGTTTCTCACAGGTTACATTATAAAATTTAAAACCATGAAATATTTTTTGTGGTAAAAACATCTGTACATGAAGGTGCTCCAATATAATCTTCAAATTTTACCACTATACCGGTAATCAATCAGAATTATTCTCCCATAATGCATTGCATATCACCTTAGCAACAGAGCCATCAATATTGGTTCCACACAATATATACAAGTGTAAAATACTTTACATGATAATTAATTTAATTATAAGTATAATCACCTGGTAATGAAGGTAGTTTTCTCACTCCTGACGTCAGTTTTCCTGCTTCTAATGGGAATCTATCATCAAGATTTTTTTCTAAATCATCAAATTGACTGTACCTCCTCACAATGAGGTACGTCTTACCACTCTTCAATGTCACTTCAATAAAATACACCTAGAATATATCACAATTAATGACCAAATGTATCATGTGATCAGAGATAACAAAACAGTATTGTGTCACCAGAGACAACAATTATACGCCATATCACATGTTGGTGTCACTTCAATAAATATCACACTTAAATTAGTTACATGTATATCATGTGACCATAAAAGGCCAATCAGATGTTTCAGACAAAATCTAAAAAATTTGTTGATCCATTGGTACAATTGTCATACTCCAAGGCAGGAGGACATACGTATTATAGGTATGAAATTCAGGCTGTATGTAGATAAAATGTATATAACCAAAAGCTAGGCTATGCAAGTGATGTAATGGAAAATCACGCTCAAATTAATGATGTCCTGCAAATTGCCAGGCAAATACACATTTCTAAAAATACTAAAAACTTGTGAGTTTTCCATTCTACCTTTTTCCCCTGATGTTCTTGCTAATTTCCAAGCATGTATTATGTGAGTTTTGCATTGTGTTCTAGTATCAGAACATGTCCAGACATACACTGTGTTCTAGTATTAGAACATGTCCAGACATACACTGTGTTCTAGTATCAGAACATGTCCAGACATACACTGTGTTCTAGTATTACCGGTAGAACATGTCCAGACATACACTGTGTTCTAGTATCAGAACATGTCCAGACATACACTGTGTTCTAGTATTACCGGTAGAACATGTCCAGACATACACTGTGTTCTAGTATTAGAACATGTCCAGACATACACTGTGTTCTAGTATTAGAACATGTCCAGACATACACTGTGTTCTAGTATTAGAACATGTCCAGACATACACTGTGTTCTAGTATCAGAACATGTCCAGACATACACTGTATTCTAGTATTAGAAGATGTCCAGACATACACTGTGTTCTAGTATTAGAACATGTCCAGACATACACTGTGTTCTAGTATCAGAACATGTCCAGACATACACTGTATTCTAGTATTAGATGTCCAGACATACACTATGTTCTAGTATTAGAAGATGTCCAGACATACACTGTGTTCTAGTATTAGAACATGTCCAGACATACACTGTGTTCTAGTATTAGAACATGTCCAGACATACACTGTGTTCTAGTATTAAAACATGTCCAGGCATACACTGTGTTCTGGTATCAGATTATGTCCAGGCAAACACTGTGTTCTAGTATTAGAACATGTTCATGCATACACTGTGTTCTAGTATCAGAACATGTCCATGCATACACTGTGTTCTAGTATTAGAACATGTCCATGCATACACTGTGTTCGAGTATTAGAACATGTCCATGCATACACTGTGTTCTAGTATCAGAACATGTCCAGGCATACACTGTGTTCTGGTATCAGAACATGTCCAGGCATACACTGTGTTCTAGTAATTCTATCTGATCCCATAATACTTACATAATATTTGGTCAAATTAGCGAGATGTAAGTACCTCCTTTTTTCAAGATCAAAAATAACAGCAGATACTATTGTATCTTTCCTCAAATCAGGTATAGGGCTGCAATAAAAAACCACAGTGAAATGTATTGTTTTCAATATTAAATAGAAGTTTGGGGTAAAAGGGATGTAGAAAAATGGGAGTGGTCAACTTGTGACAACATCAACACTCATAGTAATCTTTTATCAAAGAATGAAGTAGAAGATAAAAACATTTTATCACAACTTGCTCTTTGTACAACAATCAAAGAAAGAGATTATACGAAGAAACTGGAAAGCAAACCATCAATGATTTCCCAAATTTGACAGAAGAGAACAAATTTATAAAAAATAATGGGCAATAAAAACATTACAATGAATATTGTATTAGCAAATTTATAAAAAACATGATCATGAGACTGCAACACCTCTTGTCGGCATAGCATAACCATTACTATACATCTTTTCCTCCCTGGGATACATCATGGGAATGCCGAAATCCAAAACGTTTAGAACAGATTTAGCGAACTTTTTTTGGTGGAGTCCAGCCATGTTTGTTTTCTATTATTAGAGGATGCTTACGCGCATAATAATTCCATATTTGGAATTCACATTTCCTAATATGGTAGGATGAAAATACTCAGTGCAATACCGCAAAATTACAGCACACCGATGTGAAGGAATAATTGTTTTTTGAATCTTCTTTGCCGTTCATGTGCACGATGACTTGTAATAAATACTATCACAGCAAATGAATATAATTTCAACATAGCAATTATTATTATCATCATATGTATATTGTTTCCCATGTTTGGGTCAAAAAAGAAATCGACAAATGAGAGTGTGATTTTGGCACTAGTCGAGTGGGCCTTAAGCGGATCCCAACTAACAGAATTGCTGTAATCCCTCTGCAAAAACAAAGAATTAAAAATTTGCGACACGTGGCGAGATCCTGTTACATGATCGTAGTAATTATGTCAAGACCAATATGACATATTTACAAATGCATCCCCCAAACCATAATTATATTGATAGCATGTGGTTAAACTGAGAAAATATAATCAACACTTATTTATTTCCTAGAGAGAAAAGAAAAAGAAAAACGAACAAAGGAATAGTGTTTTTGAGCTTTTTTTCCAGTTCCTCCTACAAGTATAAAAAAAAGTTGTTTGTTGAAAATTTAGTGGAAAGAAATTAAATTCCAATTCTAAATTTTGAAGTCCTTCAAACAAGAATTGCAATGTTATCTGCATTACTTAAGGAAAGGTAAGACAACAAATTATGATTCCAGTGATTGTATTTAATTGCTGCAATACAGATACACAGATAGAAAGAATACAGCTGTGGTCCATGCCGGGGTATGAGATACTGTGGTAACCGATTGTTCGCCTTAACCACTAGTATAAATTGGAAATCTGTCGTTATATGTGCCACCAAATAGGGACCAAATTGTAAATACTGCTTATGATATCCATATCATATATAACCCATGTCACAAAATAAAAACAGTGTGTAAAATGTTTATACAATTTTTCCTGAAATGTTTTACACAGGTATCCATATTTTGGCTGTCTGGAGGATAGTTTAGTTAGTTTAATAGAACACATAAAATTCTCTGGGAGGAAATCAAATAATTACTGGTACCAGTACAGTACATAGCAAAAATACAAAAAACAATACAGAACAATATGAAAAACAAAAGAAAAACAAAAGTAAAACAAAAGTAAAACAGTATTACTTTTGATAATTCATGTGTAAGCTTCATTTTAATATTTATTATTACTCTTTAATTTTTTTTTTTAAATATAAATTTGACATTAGCTAAGAGTGTTTTGAAATTGGTAAAATTTATCGTGAAAATTCATTTAGTTATTCTCTTTTATCATTGTAAGAAGTGGCATATCATGATGAAGTGATATTCATCTTTGATTTCATTGTCAGTACAAAGGATGCACATTTTTTTTCTACTGCTGTTTTTTGCCTTGACTGTCGTTCTTATTTGTTTTTGAAATCATGGTTACTTGGTCGAAATTGACAAAGTTTTTTTTTAATTGAAATTAAGAAATTTTCTAGTTTAAACAGCTTTCTGAATTTTCTGCAATTTTATTTTCATTAATTCATTAATGTCATTTAATTTGTTGTTCCAACAGTCAATTGTTCTTCTAATTTGACGAGCATTTTTTGTGTTTGCTCAGCAGTTGTATTTCGTTTGTATTTATTATCAGTGCTTTATTGATGTTGTCTGTGTCCTTATAACACTGAACCATTCACTATTTATTTTCTTATTAAGTACTGCTGTCATAATTCGTTCATCCTCTATCTATTATTCATGAACGACAAGGAAGTATGGAAGTACCTTCCATGGTAGATCTATTCCCCACATAACACCCCGGCCTCACACACAACCACAAAACAGTATCCCGTCGACAGAGATCTCTATTATTACTCGGCCCAGTGTAAAAACTGTCGATCTTAAGACGTGAATAAAAGGTTAACAAATAATACTTACGTTGATGACGCTAGTAGTGTAGCCATTGTGAAGACAGTAATCTATTATAAACACTAAATCGTGTACGGTTTCATTAGATGAACATCCATACTTGTGACCTCAATTATTGACCCCGTGTAACTACCCCCTCTACAGGCCAACAGCAGAAATAAGCCACTTTATCTCTTAAATCTATCCCTTGATTACCGGTAGGTTTCACATCAAGTTATAACTTGTATCACAGGACTGTGCTTGCATGAAGGCATCCCCTTCATTTGCAAATCTTGTTGTAAAGTATGTATACTTGTACCTAGAGAATGAATACCAAGCATCTTTTAGTTTGGTCAAAGACACGTCTTAGGTTTGGCCCAATTTTGTAGTAATAAATTCAAGCAATTCAGGCTTCATTTTGGCCATTCTGTTATTTCAACATTTGCTTCTCTATGCAACAGCTTGGCATGTGTACACTGTTAGGTTTTCTCTAATTGACAAGGCTTTTTTTCCCCACCACTACCATGCCAAAAATAGGAGTTTTTTAATAACATGGCAAGGCAATATTTCCAATTGGTTCCAGTACTCAAAATGGTTACCGGTAGTTTTCAAAGAAGGGTTAACTCTAATTTTCAAAAGTAAACTGTAAAACCAGCATCTAGAGACAAAGAGCAGTTAAACCAGGTTTAAATATTTAAATATTGATATTTAGTTTCAAATATATTGCATTGACCTGGGAAATTTTGAGTGTCTGATTTTTTTTAAAATTGTTCAATAAATGTCACACAAACAATTATTCAATATGACATCCTATTTTATTAACACAAAAATACAATGGACGATAACCATCTAGTCTAATAAAATCCTACACAAATAATAAATTTAATTATACCATCTAAATAAATGAATTTTCAAAATAAAATAGAATACAAATTATATTTTTAAATCATCCCTTTAGCTTTGTACACATCAACCATTAGTTCTTTCATATATTGTATTTCTCTGGTTAAGGAATCTACTTGTTCTTTTAAAGATGTGTTTTTAGCAACTAGTCTTTCTTCCTCTGTATGTATACCATCAGCCTCTGCTTTTTTCTTTTCTCTGTATCTGGTTGCTGCTGCTTTATTTTGGTCACGTTTTCTGGATTTCCTATCAGTGAACTTTCCATATTTGGTACCAGAGGCGGTTTTTAATTTAGACTTGGATCTTTTTGGGGAATCACTGATGACCTCTTCTTGGACCTCACTGGATGTATATGACACAACTGATGGTGATGGGGATGGGGAA